ATTGCGTAGCATATCACACTTTAGTGTTGGGACAGCAAGGGTTTGGATATATTTGAAGGTTTTGAAGCGTATTATGACCTTAAGATCGAGGTAAGACCCTTCTTTCATCGACTCTAGCTTTGATAAGTCGCAAATAGCAATTTGCGACGGAAATACATATCTTTTATCGAATTTTCGTTGTATCTTCTATTTTTTTGTGTTGATTATGATCTTGCCTTATTGTAGTATCAAGGGGGGTTGTGATTAAAGTTATTAGGACACGTGAATTCAATGAAAAATGTATGTTAAGGTTATTCCCTATTTACGGCATGTTTCCTTAAAGCTTAGAAGCAATGTATTTGGGTTGTTATCCTTGATATACTTGTAGCCGTGATTGTTGATTGTTGGCTGCTCGAGTTGATATAATCCTCCCTTGTCAGGATTCTTATTCAATTAGTAGCGTCTCTAATGTTGGACACGACTTAGAGGCTATTTGTATAGGTTGACTTATACTAATTGCTCGCTTTAGCGATTGGATTGTATTGCTGCCCTTGGGCTATTGTGGTTAGCTGCAGGAATGTGATCTATGCCTAGAAGGGCTATGTTCGGCCTACAGGGCTATATGGATGCCTAAAAAGGGCTATAAGTTGCCTACAGTGCTATATTGATGCTTAGAAGGGCTATGAGTTGCCTACAGGGCTATATTGACGCCTAAGAAGGCTATGTGCTTCCTACAGGGCCATGTTGTTGCCTAAGAGGGCTATGAGTTGTCTATAAGCTATGTTGATGCCCGAGAGAGCTATTTGCTTCCTATGGGGCTATATTAATGCCTAAGAGGGCTATATGACTGCCTACGGGACTAAGGGACTACCGATAGGGGTATATAGGTTGATTGGCACCTTCCGGGCTTATGAGGGCCTGAGTAGGTGGTCTTGTGTGTTGTTTGTACCTGCCGAGCTTATGGGGGCTTAGTTAGATTGTTGTTTTATTATTTTTGATAGGTTTAGATTTAGGAGCAGGTCAGTACCCTTATCTTATCCTTGATTTATTTATCAGATTATTCCAGTATATCAGTATTCATCATCATAGTCTATTGCCTTTCATACTCTGTACATTATTGTGTACTGACGCCCCATTGCCTTGGGGGCACTGTGTGACAAATTTAAATAAATCAATATTAGGTTAAAAGTTAAGGTTAAAGGTTAAAATTATTACCATATAATTTAATTTATTTTAACTATGACATCCACCATCATCTTCTCCACCTTCTTAGCCGTGGTCTCTTTTGGCGTGACATTGATTTCTTCGACTTGAAAGGTGAGAATTTAAGATTGTAAAAAAGCCGATTAAAAAAATTATCGTGCCAAACAAAGAGAGTCATTATATATGTTAGGTAGATGAAAATTTTATCGACAGATGTGGCTAGAAGCATTTCTAGACAAACATTTGGTCTAGTCAACATCTAAATGTGTTTCCTAATCATTAGATGATAGTTCAGATAGAAAACTCTTATTCTCAATACGTTATGTATAAAACTCAATAAAGTGAAATAGCTTAAAACGTGTTTTTGACCTTTTTAACTCTTTCAAAAACAAACTGAATATAAAAGTACTGCTAATTTCGTACTAATTAGGTCAACTTGATTTTAAAAAAATTGGCAAATCAGGTATTGACTAATAATGGAGCATTCTTCTAGAGAACGACTTTGCTTGCATTTGCAATTAGTGCTTCTCAACTTTGCCTCTTCCTATTCCACTTCTTTACTCCCTCGATTTCATATTAATTGAATTGTTGAGATATTTTTTATTTTTTAAATTAACTTAATTATTCAATCTTCAAAGCTATTCTTAGAATGTTCTTCCAATTTTACCCTTCATTAGTTAGTATTAGAATTAGTTATTAATTAATGTTTAGTTATTTTAATCACAAATTTGACAATAATTAATAAGGGTAAAAATGGAAAGTTATGCCTAATTTATATCTTAATCTTCTTTTCTTAAAGGGTGTGAAACACCTCAACAATTCAATTAATTTGAAATGGAGGGAGTAATTTATTTTTTAAGTCTCAACTTCTAGAAGACCTAATTCATGTTCTTCTAAGGGAAAATAGTATATAATAGCAAACTATTAATTCAAATTAAATGTTATAACCATAGTTTGATTTAATTGTACCCCATAGGAAACTGTTGCTATTTCGCCTCTCTCCCTGGTGAATCTCGCTCGCCACTCTCGTTTTCGCTGGGCAGTCTCACTCGCCCCTCTCGCTTTTATACAAACACAAACATATAAAATGTGTTTGTGTTTGTATAAAGCGAGAGAAAATTGTATATACAAATACAAATACATATATTTTCGTCCTATACACTTATGATTATACAAATACGATCTTCCCTTGCCCAGTTTCTTTTGTCTTTCTCTCTTTCTCGTTTTTATACAAACACAAACATATAAAATGTGTTTGTGTTTGTATAAAGCGCGAGAAAATTGTATATATAAATACAAATACATATATTTTCGTCCTATACACTTATGATTATACAAATACGATCTTCCCTTGCCCAGTTTCTTTTGTCTTTCTCTCTTTCTCGTTTTATACAAACACAAATTATGCAATTGATTCTTTTGTATATGTATACCGAAACAGATTATACATTTTCTTCTTTTGTATATGTATAGCGAAATATACATATTAATAGTCATAGCACACTTTATGTTTGCTATGGGGCGCAATTATGCAAACTATAGCTATAACATACAAATGTGATTTTTATATTTGTTATATGTGAAAGTTGCTCTTTTTCTAACCTGATGACAGTATGCCACTTGGCAAACTATTAATTCTTTTAACCTTTTTTTTTGTGGATTGCTTATGACGAAAAGGCAGCACGATAAAGGGCCCAACTATAAGGGTCTATTGTATGCAGTCTTATCTTACTTTTCTGCTAGAGGCTGTTTTCAGGACTTGGTGACAAAAAATTTACACTATCGAATAACTTTAAATAGTTATAGTAGGTTATTATTATTATTATTATATATTTCGAAGCTATTAACTTGAGCATGTCTCAAGTAGTTACTCTTCTCGCAAGTTATATTGCTAGTGTACAGAAATTAAATTCAAACATTGAAAGTGAATGAAAAAAGGATACTAGTAGTAATAAATAAAACCACAAATAGGTGGTCTCTCAACATATATGATGTATACAAGAATATATATCAATCTGCAAAGATTAAAAAGAAGGAAAAAAAGAACCAAAATCTGACCAAACAACAAAAAACATATAAACATACAAAAATGTTCAAAGTGACATTATTTAAGTTAACTTATGCCTGTTGATGAGTCCCATTTCCATAAGGATTAACAGTACCATTTGTTCCATTTTGTGTGTGCTTGTTAGAGTCTGTTTTTTTCCTTTTGATGACAATGAACCAAGTAAAGGCTTCTAATAAAACAGCAATGGCACCTATGGCTATGATCACACCAGTGTAAGCCCTCTTCCAATTCTTCTGTCCATTCAATGCATCAAATCCTTGGAAAACATTGGTGATGGCCAGACTTATTACCGCGTATCCAACAGCATGGTGGTAGATGTTCCAGTATAATCTGTACTTGTGGTCTGGCTTTGGCCTCAGAAGCAAAGCAAATACCTACAAAGTTTGTAATCATACAAATTAGTAACAATGAAGGTCGGGTATAATCCTTAGTTCAGGTGTCTAAATGAAAAAAAATGGGGCAAGTACGAGGGAGGTGCCTATGTATTAAGCCAAAAAGGGGGATATTTTGTTGCTCTTTATTTAAGGGACCGGTATTTTTATGTGTGTACAAGTGCTTGCATAAGTGAATTCAAGATTTATAGTTAATGCCGTTTAGATGGTTACCTGAAGAGTTCCGAGGCAAAAGAGAGTGATGCCAATGTTCCTGTGAGTAGTGAATTCGATACCCGTAGAATCACTGCCAAGTTTGAGACCAGTTCCCCATCCAGCAATGCCAACAATATAGGCAGAAGTTTGACAAGCAACATGTATATAAAACCACGCTGGATTCGCTGCTTTGAAAACCTTCAAGTACCTTGCAAATACTGCTCCCATTGGCATTAACACTCCCCAACTTACTGCATTCAATACTCCATGAACCTGTCAAATTTTCAAGATATCAAACATGTCAAATTCCTTGTTGCTTCTAATTATTTTGTTGGGGGTAGTGTATACAAAAATGAGTAATATGGTCAGCAAGGATTCATATAGTTGACCCCAATTTGTATGTAGTTTTCGCGTTGTATCACATCACCTAAAATTAGAATTCAATTCCACAATTTAAATTTGATGAGTTCAACTTACGATTGAATCAATTGGACCTTCGAGATCATAGGTTATGCATGAATTCAATCGAGTCTATTAAACTAGGTTATGATATTATAAGGGTTCATTTGGTTGGAAAACAAGTTATCCCGCAAATAAACTCATCCTAAAATCAATCTCATGATTAATTATCTCTTTACCCCTTGTACGAAACAAACAGATTAAATAACACTATTAGTGTAAAAATCAATACTCCCATTTCCTATAACTATGGCAATAAGAGTGTCCGAGAAGAGAGAAAAGTCAGGATGATAAGCGCTCCACCTGCCAAGAAGGCAGCCGGAGCAGTGAGCAATTGCTTTGTGCCTGTTATCCAAACCAACTCTAATCGATACCTACTGTCAGTATATATAAATTAAATTTCAACGAAATAAAGAAAGGGTATGCGAAAACTCACATTTCTTCTACGTTGTCTAGAAGTAACTGAGCTACCACCACCACCTAACTCTCCATTAGCAAAATCAATACTTCCAAAAGACCTCATATTATCACCAGACTGAACATGAGCAGTCAAAGCCTGACCAGAAACAGCACCATTTTGCCAAGCTTGATTAAAACTAGTCCTTCCAGCAGGAAGTTCCAAAGTTGCAAAAATAATAAACTCATTATTCGAATACTCAGCTCCAATTCTCGGAACATTGAAACTCAAAGCCCCCTCTGCTAACTGAGTTCCATAACTAGAAACAGGGGAAGTATAAGCATGAATTTCTCCACTAGAATTTCTAAATGCAACTAAACATTGTGAACCAACCATCCTTGTTCCGTCAATATTTAAACCCCAAGCTACCCAATCTGTATTTGGTACACCTCCATGTCTGTAAGCAAGATCAACTGTATGGTTATCTGGATGGTAACTCCAATGAAGAACAGAGTTTAGTAGAGGCAGAGCATTACAAGTTGCAAATATTTGGTTATTTCTGAATGCAAAAGCAGAGCAATTTTGATTCTGACCATAACTAGTATAAAATAGACCTAAAATCAAGATTGATGAAAATAATGAAGTTAAAAGTTTATCCATAATTGTGCTCTGTTTTTTTTGTTCAGCAAAAACTCAAATTCAAGAACTTGGGTAAGTCCCAAAATATTGCAAGAATTGGTTTTCTTGGGATTTGTGACGATTGAATCAAGAAAATTGAACTATTTGTTGAAAATTTGGGGTAAAGTAGCTTAGATTATATAGATATTTGAAAGAGAAAAGGGGAAAGGAAGGTGAAGTAGGTGATGACAAATTCGAAGGAGTTAGTTGACCGCTTCCTTTACGTGGAATTTTAGGCATGCCTGTTATCCAAACCAACTCTAATCGATACCTACTGTCAGTATATATAAATTAAATTTCAACGAAATAAAGAAAGGGTATGCGAAAACTCACATTTCTTCTACGTTGTCTAGAAGTAACTGAGCTACCACCACCACCTAACTCTCCATTAGCAAAATCAATACTTCCAAAAGACCTCATATTATCACCAGACTGAACATGAGCAGTCAAAGCCTGACCAGAAACAGCACCATTTTGCCAAGCTTGATTAAAACTAGTCCTTCCAGCAGGAAGTTCCAAAGTTGCAAAAATAATAAACTCATTATTCGAATACTCAGCTCCAATTCTCGGAACATTGAAACTCAAAGCCCCCTCTGCTAACTGAGTTCCATAACTAGAAACAGGGGAAGTATAAGCATGAATTTCTCCACTAGAATTTCTAAATGCAACTAAACATTGTGAACCAACCATCCTTGTTCCGTCAATATTTAAACCCCAAGCTACCCAATCTGTATTTGGTACACCTCCATGTCTGTAAGCAAGATCAACTGTATGGTTATCTGGATGGTAACTCCAATGAAGAACAGAGTTTAGTAGAGGCAGAGCATTACAAGTTGCAAATATTTGGTTATTTCTGAATGCAAAAGCAGAGCAATTTTGATTCTGACCATAACTAGTAGAAAATAGAGTTGAAATTAAGATTGATGAAAATAATAAAGTTGTTAAAAGTTTATTCATATTTGTGCTCTGTTTTTTTTTTGTCCTGTAAAAACTCAAATTCAAGAACTTGGGTAAGTCCCAAAATATTGCAAGAATTGGTTTTCTTGGGATTTGTGACGATTGAATCAAGAAAATTGAACTATTTGTTGAAAATTTGGGGTAAAGTAGCTTAGATTATATAGATATTTGAAAGAGAAAAGGGGAAAGGAAGGTGAAGTAGGTGATGACAAATTCGAAGGAGTTAGTTGACCGCTTCCTTTACGTGGAATTTTAGGCATATAACCGGTTTAAAAAAAAATGGTGCAGTCGTAAGTACTCCTTACAAACAATTATGAGTTTGAGCCTTAAGTATGAAATCGCTACTTTTGAGTTTGAGTTTTGAGTATACAGTTACGACTCTTTCAGAAAAAAAGATTTCGAATTCGAGTTTTGAGTATGAAATTATTAACTCCTTCAAATAAAGTTTTTGAATTTGAATCCTGTGTGTGAAATGTTTTTGTTAACGAGGTTTTACACACTATGGTTGAATTTTTCGACATGAATTAAAATTTAATCATTTAATATGGATATCAAAAGTGGGATGAAAAGGTAAAAAAGAATCTTAGGCGTATATGTGGAAACCAAAGTATACATTATTTGAAACACAAATGAAGAGTTCTGATGGAAGTAACTAGGAAGGTGTTTGATTTTTATTTTTTTTACTATTTTTGTAGTTTTATATTGAATTAGAGATTGGATACTTCTCTATAAATGACTAGACTTGGTGCTCAAAACAAATCTTTGCTTTCAAACTTGAAAAAGTCTTGAATTTACTAATTTAATATTTTTCTATTAATGAACGTAATTGGATATTTTGGTCATATACAAACGGGAAAGTGAAATATATAAACTGTAGCGTACATAGCAAACAAAACTATAGTTACAGAGCACAATTACTGAAATTATTGTTATAGAGTCTTGTTATGTTTATTATCGTTGTTATTTCTGAAATTTACTCTTCTTTTAATGGGGTCTTATGTCGTGGTACGAAGTTAAAATAGTTTGACTTTAATATGGGTGATATCTAGTGGGGAAAAAAAAGTGTGATTGGTACAAATGAAAATGTTTTCTAAAATTTTTTCTAGGGAAATAATAATAATTATTTAGTGTTTGATAAGTAAATAAAAATTATTATTCAAAAGTATTTATATGTGTTATTTAATAAAATATTTCGAAGTCGTTTGGTAGGATGTATAAAAATAGTGTTGAATAAGAACTAGTAATGTTGACATTAGTAATATTGGTATTAGTTATGAAAAGAATATTTTTGATACACTATTTGATTTGGTATATTAATTAAAAATATATGTATTGCATAATTTTTAAAGGACAAATTACTTAACTACACTCTTTTACTTACCTTAATATCCATTTATCCCTACTTATTTCAAAATTTTCAAAAATCCCTTAGTTTACCTATGTATCCCGTGCACAACACTATGTATCCCGCTATGTGGAATGTATCAAACGCTATGTATTCCGTGCACAACGCTATGTATCCCGCTATGTGAAAGGTATCAAACCTAATGTATCCCGTGCACAACGCTATGTATCCGCAAACATAATTTTTAAGGGGTTTTTGGTAAATAGAAAACTAGAAGGGATAGGATGTTATTTAGTACTTATAATATGTGGTTCCTATAATTTATACATTTTAAAATACTCTAATTCATTTATAAAAAATACACTCCGAAAATAAGGTGAAAAGAAAGTGAAAAAAGTTTTAAGAAACAATTGTGTCTTTAACTAGGTTAATGCATGCATAAAAAAATCTTTGCATTACTAATACTATTGTTTGTCATGCATTAGTTATAAATACTTTCCTAAACTTGTTTTTAAAGAGAAAATATCACATTTTGATCAACTAAACATGAAAAAATCTATTTTTAATAGGAACTTGAGTTTCTTTCTTTTAGTTATTATTGCTTGCATTAGTCGTTGTCCTGTAACATACTTTAACCTTACCTTGAAAGATAGAGAAACTATTTTTGATAGACCCTTGTCTCAAAAAAATATATTTTAAAGTAAATCAAGAAAAATGAAGAATTCATGGTAAAATATTATAGAAAGCATGTCAAAATATTCTTAAAAAAAAGAAGAAGAAAGAAACATAAGCATAACATTATCGAAGTACAAGAAAATCAAATACTAACATAATTAAAAGGACATGAAACTACAAAAGTAATATTACGTACGACTCCTAGTATGAAAAGATAAGTAAGACAACGTGCTATTACCTGCTAACCTTCCACTCTAATTTGTGTACTTTACAACCTCTTATCTAAGGTCATGTTCTCGATAAATTGAAATTGTCCTATCTAATAATTACCTCTCTCCAATACTTTTTCGATCTACCTCCTCCTCTCCTAAGTTCATTCATAGTCAACCTCTCCTATACTCACACCTCCGCATAAGAAGCATTTGTGCATATACTCTTTACATATCCGAATTATTTTTAATTTCTACCTCACTTTCTACTTTTTGTCCTCCACCGAGTTACTCACACACATTATTAGTATACAAATATAGTATTCGTCCTGTTGAGTTTGAATTGTTCCTTTTAATATTTAAGAGTTATAAACACTTAAACTATCCAAATTTTTGAGCTTTATACTTGAATTACTGAGTATGAGTTTCCTATCTGAATTATCACTCAATAGTTAGCAAAACACAGCTCGATTAATTTCTAATAATGTGTGTAATCTCTTTTTTGTCTAAATATATAATCATGTGACACTCCACGTGAAAAAATAATTTCACCGTGACAAATTTAAATAAATCAATATTAGGTTAAAAGTTAAGGTTAAAGGTTAAAACTATTACCATATAATTTAATTTAATTTATTTTAACTATGACATCCACCATCATCTTCTCCACCTTCTTAGCCGTGGTCTCTTTTGGCGTGACATTGATTTCTTCGACTTGAAAGGTGAGAATTTAAGATTGTAAAAAAGCCGATTAAAAAAATTATCGTGCCAAACAAAGAGAGTCATTATATATGTTAGGTAGATGAAAATTTTATCGACAGATGTGGCTAGAAGCATTTCTAGACAAACATTTGGTCTAGTCAACATCTAAATGTGTTTCCTAATCATTAGATGATAGTTCAGATAGAAAACTCTTATTCTCAATACGTTATGTATAAAACTCAATAAAGTGAAATAGCTTAAAACGTGTTTTTGACCTTTTTAACTCTTTCAAAAACAAACTGAATATAAAAGTACTGCTAATTTCGTACTAATTAGGTCAACTTGATTTTAAAAAAATTGGCAAATCAGGTATTGACTAATAATGGAGCATTCTTCTAGAGAACGACTTTGCTTGCATTTGCAATTAGTGCTTCTCAACTTTGCCTCTTCCTATTCCACTTCTTTACTCCCTCGATTTCATATTAATTGAATTGTTGAGATATTTTTTATTTTTTAAATTAACTTAATTATTCAATCTTCAAAGCTATTATTAGAATGTTCTTCCAATTTTACCCTTCATTAGTTAGTATTAGAATTAGTTATTAATTAATGTTTAGTTATTTTAATCACAAATTTGACAATAATTAATAAGGGTAAAAATGGAAAGTTATGCCTAATTTATATCTTAATCTTCTTTTCTTAAAGGGTGTGAAACACCTCAACAATTCAATTAATTTGAAATGGAGGGAGTAATTTATTTTTTAAGTCTCAACTTCTAGAAGACCTAATTCATGTTCTTCTAAGGGAAAATAGTATATAATAGCAAACTATTAATTCAAATTAAATGTTATAACCATAGTTTGATTTAATTGTACCCCATAGCAAACTGTTGCTATTTCGCCTCTCTCCCTGGTGAATCTCGCTCGCCACTCTCGTTTTCGCTGGGCAGTCTCACTCGCCCCTCTCGCTTTTATACAAACACAAACATATAAAATGTGTTTGTGTTTGTATAAAGCGAGAGAAAATTGTATATA